GCCTCCCAGCAGCTGCCCATGAGCGCGTGCACGGGGCCCGGGCAGCCCTCCGGGGGCTCCATGCGGTACCCCTTCTCCACCGCCTCCAGTACCTCCTTCAGCGACTGTAGACACAAGGCGTGCGCGTGAGCTGGGGCTCAAGCCTGGACCCCAGCCTCCCCGCAAACCCCACTCACCATCTTGGGGTAGGGGGCCCTTCCGTATGAGAAGACTTCCCACAGGAGCACCCCAAAACTCCAGACGTCTGATTTGCTGGAAAACTTCTGTGGGGCCAGAGAGCCGGCTGAAGTGGGGCCCCCAAAGTTCCTAATTCTTACATTTGGGTGTGGGTGGGAATTGAACCCAGGGCCTGCACGCTGAACTACACCACCAGCCCTTTTTTATTTTTTATTTTGAGACAAGGTTTGCCTAAGTTGCTAAGCCACCCAGGCTGGGCTCCAACTTGAGATCCTCCTGCCTCAGCCTCCCAGTGTGCAGAAATGACAGTTGCGGGTACCACCATACTCTCTCCCCCTAGGTTTGTGATTAGCCCTTGTTCGCTCCCTGGAACCCTCCTGGGTTAGACCCTCCCTCTCTGGTCCGCTACCAATAGACTCCACCCCTCAGGCCCTCCACAGGTGAGTGGAGCTCAGACTGCAGGGCAGAGGCGCTGCCCACTGCAGAAATGGGGAAACTGAGGCCAAGAGAGCGGCTGAAAGGAACAACTGTTGGCCTCTTGCATAATAGGCAGAGCAGAGCACCTTTTTCCCTTGGGAGGTTAGAGAGGCCCGGGGGTGTACTGAGGGTCATACAACAGAGCTGGGGGCCCAAGCCAGCTCTGCAGGACCCCAAACCCGGTGGGGGTGGGGGTGGAAGGTCGGAGGGAGGCTCACCCCGTGCTTGAGAGCCTCGGGCGCCGTCCACTTGACCGGCAGCCGGCTGGAGTCCAGCCCCTTGCGCTCAGCTTTGGCCAGACCGAAGTCGCTGACCTTAGCCACCAGGTCCTCGGACACCAGGATGTTGCGGGCGGCAAGGTCGCGGTGGACCAGCTTCTTGCTCTCCAGATACTCCATGCCCTCGGCCACGTGCCTGGGGAGGGGCCTCGGGAAGCTCCCGGCTCCTCCCTGCCCCGGGCCTCAGTTTCCCCTGAACTCAGCACCCACCTCCCCAGCGGGGAGAGCCCCCACTCACAGCGAAAACTGCAGGAGCTGAGCCGCATGGACGAGGGCGCGGCCCCGCGTGCGCAGGAAGTTCACCAGGTTGCCCTGCGGGTGGGTGGACGCCATGGG